CCATTGCCTAGTGTTTTGCTAGATGTTTTGGGACTTCAGGATATTTTATACAGGCTGCTGTTTAATTTTGCTAGTTTGACCTCTACTAGTAAAAGAAGAGGGGGAAAAAAAGCCTCCTTCTAAAAAACCTGGGTGCTTGAATAGCCTTGTTCAGCAGTGTGTTAATGTAAGATATCCTTGCTATATTGTAACTGGGGATCTGCAACAATTACTAGATCTGGCTGAAGTGCAATGAAGTTGGACACAAACCCGTCTTGCAGGCTCAGCGCCTGCTTTGCTGTGCTCTGCAGCACCTTCTGCTACAGCTCTGAATGTGGGAAAGTTCTCCTGTTGTTTGCATTAGTGATAGGGTGTTTGTGTGCAAAAATAAGCTTGATCAGGGAGGATGGATGGGATTTCATTTTGCTCAAGTTGATTTGCAAGTATGATACCAGACTTAATTCCCATTTATAGCTTGTTTTTTGTATGGTAGAACAATTATTGTCACATGCATAACAGTGTTGGGAAATGACAGTTTTTGCAATGCATGGAGTTAAAATACTTGTATTTTTATTATAATTTTGTATTATTCACTAATGGTTAGTTTGAAGACAGAGGGGAGATATGGATCTGCCTTTGCACTCTGAACTCCATGTGTAAAACCGCGTGGTGGTTTTGATGTTGTGAGTCTGGGGAGTTGCTAGAAACAGTCTGACACATACAGCTGAACCAGCTGGGTCCAGAATGGATGTTCAGGTAGGGATGAGTCCAGGATGAGTAGCTGGGAGAAAGTATGGGATGAATAGCTGTGATGGTGGAGCAAGTGTTTTGATATTTAGTTATTTAGTTGCTGTATTTTACAATAAATCTAATTCTAGATCAGATTCTGGTTTGAACACTCTGTTCGTTTATTTTCAGTATCAGAGTACTGTGTTCAGTTTTGGGCCCCTCACTTGAAAAAGGACATTGAGGTGCTGGAACATGTCCAGTGAAGGGCAGTGAGGCACAGAAAAGGCCTAGAACATACATTGTATGATTGGGAAAGTGAAGTCCTAAGCTCCAGACACCTACGAGGTTGGTTCATGTATTTCAGCCCTAAGTCACAAAATAACTGGCCAACAGATTACTCATCAGCACATCTATGGTATTTTTTTACTAGCAAAACTGATGTACTTTATGGCCATAAACTGAGACAGGGGAGATTCAGGATAGATACCAGAAAAAAAACCTTTTCACTCTTAGGGTAGTCAGGCATTGGAATAGATTGCCCAGAGAGATGGTGGAGTCACCATCCCTGGAAGTGTTTAAGAGGTGTCTGGATCTGATGCTGGAGGATATGTCTAGGGTTTAGGGGTTCCAGCAGAGTGACACATTAATGGTTGGACTTGATGATCTTAAAGGTCTCTTCCAACCTTGATAATTCTATGATTCTATGGTCTTTCATTTTTAAAAACTTCCTTAAGCTTATCTAAATTTGACTTAAGTCATTTGGAATACAAAATCTCCAAGAAGCTCTTTTTCCTAGTGAGCCTGAAGCTGCTGAAATGTCTCCCTATTTATTGATCTTTATCTAAAAAAAGTTGCTAGTTGCAAGAACAGGCTGCTGACATGAAAAGCCTGTCTTGGATGCAGCAGTTGGCTGGAGGCCAGAGAATGAGTTTCTATGGGAGCTTGTTGGCAAGCTTACGTTTTTGCTTAGGTTAATCTAATGTAACTGTAAGTAAATTGGGAGCCTGGTACATGCAAAAAAATTTTTAGACAAAATGATCTAGTTCTTTAAATTATAACTGAGCAGATATTTTTATATAACAGCTTCTTGTACTTAAAGTACTTTTAAAAAGCCTAGGAATGTGATTCTTTACTATTTCCTCTATTATATAGTCAACCCACTGAATAATCCTTTAAAAAAATTGACTCGGATGGCAACTTTTTTTGCCAGCCTCTGTTCACTGGAGTGATGTATTAAAAGGTTTGCATTTTTAAAAGGCCAGGTGGTAACACACATAAGGGCAAGTATGAAATCACTGCATCATCAAGGTTGGGAGAGACCTCCAAGATCATCAAGTCCAACCATTAACCTGCCACTCTGCTGGAACCCCTAACCCATATCCTCCAGTGTGAGATCCAGATACCTCTTAAACACTTCCAGGGATGGTGACTCCACCATCTCTCTGGGCAATCTATTCCAATGCCTGACTACCCTAAGAGTGAAAAGGTTTTTTTTCTGGTATCTATCCTGAATCTCCCCTGTCTCAGTTTATGGCCATAAAGTACATCAGTTTTGCTAGTAAAAAAATACCATAGATGTGCTGATGAGTAATCTGTTGGCCAGTTATTTTGTGACTTAGGGCTGAAATACATGAACCAACCTCGTAGGTGTCTGGAGCTTAGGACTTCACTTTCCCAGATAGTGTCCATTCCAGGCAGTTATGCCCATGGACCTTTTCACTGGACTCATGGGTTTTCTTGCATCATTCAGAGGCTGGTGGGAAGAGTTGGGCTTTACTCCATCTCAGGATATTTTTGATGTTTCTCATTTCTTTTGTGTGATAAGTGAATGTGAATCCACACTAAGGGGAATGAAAACTGAATTCAGATCTTGAAATATCCATTGAAGTGCTGTATATGCCAGGCTACGAAAAGATGTCAGGATCCAGTCCTGGTTTTTGAGGAGTGGTGGATAAATGTGGTTTTAACAGGAGAATGCTGAAGACTTCTGATTCTGTCCAGGCCAGCAGTGCTCATCTGCAGCCCTGAGTAACTGTTCCATCCCTAAGAGTGATAGAGAGGCCTCGGAATGTGTGCATGTCCTCCACTGGCGTGGGCTGATGGGTGCCAATCAGAAAAGGGATAATACTTTACCATGCTCTGTTATTTCTTTGTGTGGCTGTATCATTAGCAGTGACAGTGTGGATGATCAACAGACAGGGTTTGATTTACAACTGCTTTGCTGTAGGTCTCTTACATGGTGTTTAAAACTGGTTGAACATAGATGGAGATCTTTGTGATGGGAGGGAGCATGATACAATTGTGCTGGTGCTTATCAGAGGTCTAAAATTCCCTCATACCATTTGTTCTCTAGTTGCTATTAATAGTAGGGCCTAGAGATATTTCTGGATGTGATAGCTGACAAGTTTCTTCGTCAAATAGTCAATGAATGAGCAAGAAGTGTTTCTATTTTAAACTTAGCTTTGACAAGTACAAGAACTTCAAAGAAAAGCTGTTCATAAGAAATAACCTTGGTGTGAGTTACCGCAACTGATTCCCTTTAAGTGATAGATTAAACACAGGGCTGCAACTTTAAGCATCTCTGATACAGGAAGAGTTTTGTGGAGTTTTTTTGCCAGCTGCACTGTAGGGGATTTCTATTAGTTTAAAACTTAGGTGTTTAATTGAAGGTTGCTAATGAACCTTGGCAGAGGTGCAAGCTAAGGCAGATTTTTGAAAGGAATGGTCTGGTTCGAACTTGGTGTGAATAGTCACTGCCAAAGTGTTAGGGTATGCAGAGAATGCGTTCGGAAAATTGAAGAGCTCTGTTGAAAAGAGGTTTGTGTTAGGAGGTGAATTGCCTCAGGTGCAAAGGCTCAGGATGCAATAGCAAAAACCTCTTCTTTCTTGCTCTTTGTTTATACTCCTGAAGTGATGAATCTGCCTTTGTTTTTTTATCTCACGCCAGTGCCTGGGATGATGTGCCATGATTCTAAGCATGACTTTTAATGAAGAGGATGGTAGTGTTGACCATAGAGGAAAAAAAGGGTAGTATCAGGAACAAGTGCCTGAAAATAAATTTTTAAAAGTCCATTTGGTACAGCACTGCATCACCTTCCAAATGGAACTCTCTGAGCCTAGGAAGAGGGTTTGTAGGAGAGAAAATTGTGGCAGGTTAGATGTAAACTGCCAGAGCAGTAGCATGCTGGAGTGGCAGGATCAAAGAACTAAGTGTTGGGGGTTTTCTGAAGATGGAATTTGGGACCTTTGGTACAGAATGTAATTCACTGAATGGGAACAGGTCTGGTTTAAATCAGAAATTATACAGTGCAGTGTCTCGGAAAGCTACCATGACAATGACAATGAGTTTACATACGTAAATTAAGCTTTCTTCTATGGCCTTTTAAAAAGCAAAATGCTTGTCCCAGTACGATTTATGATTTAGAACTTAAGAATTGCTTGTGTCAAACACTGTCCATGGAAGTGAAATGTCATGGACATTTCTCATTCTTTTGGATGCCATGGCACCTGCATGTTCTGCAAAAATACTGTCTATGCTCTTTCTCCTACAGTAAAGTTTTAGGTATGGTAGTTCTAAAAAGTGGTGAAAGCATCACTAATGAAGTGATTCTCTTTTGCATCTCAAAAGAGTGCAATAGAAATCTAGCAAGGGGTATACAAGATTGTCAGTAGTGCTAATTGTAAGGATTTTGACAATGCCTTTGAATGTGGTTTATGGTCTATTTCAACAATCCAGTTTTTGGTGGAATATTCTGCATGGTTCTGTCTGGAGGCTTTCTCTCTTGCTACTTTCTATTTGGTTAGCCTGATGCAGTAGGGAGATATGATAGCATCCTTACTCTTTTGCTCTGGTTTGTCTAGGAATTTAAAGATTGGTTGTGAAGCTTAGTGGATTTTCATGTCTTTGATTAGAAGAATCACACGCTGAATGTCGACTTAGCAGCTAAACTTTGTTTTGTTTCAAGTAACCTGTTAAGAACTGACTTCCTAATCTTTCTTTGGAGTGCAGGTTGTTGCCTATTCTGACTTGCTTTTAAAAATAGCCAGGAGAAAGAGGCTGTAATAGTCTGGGAAGATGGTAAATCATCAACTGCTGAAAAACAAACCATGTGGAAAAAATGCCTGTTAAAAAGCTATGCTGCAGCATGTTTTTCCTCCAGCGGCAGGAAGGCCCTTGAAAGATGATTAGAAGTAGTTAGTGATAAGAATGTGTGTAGTTAGTGATAAGAATGTATTTAGATTTATTGCAAGCTTTCTAAAACACTCTTTATGTCTTGATCTTGCAGAGACTCCAACCGTCATGTTAAGGTAAAGCAGAAAAGTGCAGTGCTGAACATGCTAAAGAAGTTGGACAAAATAAGATTCAGAGGTCACAAGAGAGATGAGTTCCTTGATTTAGCAGAGTCTCCAAATGCTTCAGACACTGAATGTGGAGATGAAATCCCAGTGAAAATACCTCGAACGTCAGCTCGAGACAATGAAGAGCTGAGAGACCCTGTAAGTACTCTATTTAAGTATCACTCTATTATGTTTTATAGTTGTCAGGCAGAAAAAATACAGAAATTAATAATTCTTTATCCTTGTATTTTGGATTTAACACTTGAAGATTTGAGGGATAGGAAGTAACCTTCCAGTAATAGGCTACCATGCTGTTGGAAGGTCAATGAATTTCTTAGTGTTCTGTGTTCCTACTCTTAATTTTAGATGCCATGGCTTGACAGGTTTTGGTAACCTTGGATGTGCTTCTGAATGCTGTTTGGTTTTTGTTTGTTTTGTTGAATTACTAATGAACACATGAAAAGTGAAGACAAATTTTCAGTCTGAGGAGCTCAGATCTGCTCAAATGACACTGTCCAGGACTGTAGGGATAAGACTTCTGGTGGCTTCATTAGAGTTAGGGGGTCACACCACATCGTTCTCCACTGTAGTGTCCTATCCAGTAATACTTCTGTGCTGTAGAGCAGGTTTAAAGCTGTGCAGGAGGTGCTAAAACTCTGTGGTGCTTGTAAGCACAGAAAAAAGTTAGATATTGGTTAAAAAACTAAAATAAAATCCTGCTTTGACTGGTTAAAAAGGTCTGTAGATCCTTCAGCTTGGAGTGCTACCCTCTAAATTTAGATTTGTCTATTGAGCTGAATTCTAGAATGTGATTTGGAAGTCAGAATTTATATGACCCTATTTGTAAATTCACTGTGCAGTTTTTATCCTCAAAATGTGGTCAGACTCTTGTCTGAAGGCTCATTTCTAGGAGCACAGGACTTCCTCACAGCAAGTTGTAAACTAAAAGACTGTACATGCTTATGCATCTCCTTTGGGGCTGGCAGTTTGTATCGAGTTCTGTAGCTATTAGCTTTTTTAAATTTAAGTGAGCTTGTATGGTACCACATACAGTCCTGCTTATATAGAGCTTTTTTGCCAGAATGTGTTTCCTGTGATCATGGAGCAAACAGGTGGTAATGACAGAGCATGTTTTGGTCACAAAAACTGTGTTGTATGCAAATCCTCAAGATCCTCAGACAAGGAAGTCTGTTAAATGCCATTCCTTTGCTCTTATTCTGCTGAAGACTTCTGTCATTTGTTAAGATGTAAGCATTGTGTATAATGGGACTAATCTCTGCTACTGCCCTTCCAATATGGTATTTTCTGAGTTTTTCATAGGTAAATACTGGCTTCTTTTCATTAAACTTAAGGCATTGTGTTTATGTGTGGGTGTATATTAGGTACCCTTTGTATCTAATCAGAAGTATCTGGATGGCAGAACTAGAGGCAATAGAAAGATCTGTTTTAAACTCTAGATAGTATTTTCTGTATTTCTTCAGGGAGATAGTAGCTCCTGAATGGTATGGAGGGTGGCTGTGGGAACAGCAAGGTAAACCTACAGTTTGAGTAGCTATAAAGCCTTATAGCTACACATCTGCAGTGATGTTCTCTGTTTTCTTAAAATGTTGATCACGATGTGCTGAGGAGGGAGCTTGAAGAGAAATTCTTAGCTTTCTGGCTGATTACATGCTGTAGTAAGGTGTTGTGATCTAAGTCCTTGGGATACAGTTGAGTACAGTTGTTTAAAAAGAGGGAGAAGGGGAGAGAGGAAAGCAGCAACAGCATCAAACTTCATTTTGCCCCAATCCTGATGTTTGGGAGCTCCAAACCCATTGTCATGCTGGAACAGCCTAAGGGTAGCAGCTGTGTTGCGGATTCGAGCAAAACAAAGCAAATTGGTGTGAGGAAATGAGTAGCAGCTGTGTTGCGGATTCGAGCAAAACAAAGTAAATTGGTGTGAGGAAAAGACGTCTGATGCATAAGGGATAAATTTCAGATGGGAAGTTGGAGGGATTAGCAGTTAGCCCTCACAGACATCTGCCCACTAAGTGCTGCTGCCCATCAGTAAAATGAGGGGAGAAGAAACAATCCCCTGTGCTGCAGACCCGTCAAGAGTAAAAGCAAAGCTTATGTATTTAAATCAATACTAAAATAGTGGTTGAGATCGTGTGAACAGGACAATTCTGAATTACGTCTGTTTCTTACTGAGATCATATGGTTGAATTGTGCTTGAATTGGTTTTAATTCAGTGTCTAAAACTCGAATTAAATTGCTTGTACAGGGAGTTTTCTTTCATAGGCTCTGTAAGCAACTTGGTATTATACTTTTATTACACTGATCTTGAGAAGACCAAGTCTTACTGGTTTCTTCCTGTTTCATACCTTTGGGAAACTGTTAAAAGCACACAAAAGCCAATGCAAGTCTTCTGTGTACATTCAAGATAGACTGCATGTCTTTTCATATAGATGTGAGTTGTACTTTGCTTCTACTTCTGTTTCATTGTTGCCACTGAAGTGTGAGTACAGAACTCAGGGCCTTGAAGGAGCAGGATTGGTGGCTTGGAACTGGACATAGGCATGCAGAATTAGAGTCCTGGTCCCCTTATCTGCATCTTCACTGTCAGCTATTCCCTTGACAAAGGCTTCGTCTCTGGCCCTGTCTGCTTCCCTCCCCCTGTCTGGTGTATTATCATTATGGAGGCATTAAAGAAAGATCTCTGTCTATTAAAACAGTACAGCACAGTCATACGAATGAAGGACCCTTCTGTGCCTCGGGTTCACAGTGCACGTAGAAATGTGCACATTAGGTGCCTCTTCTTTGGGTATGTGTCTGAACTTGACAAGCGTGTGCAAAAACACGACACAAATGGAGGTTTTAGAGTAAAAACCCTTGTCATAAAAGCTTGTGATTGCAGGGCCCTGACCATCTGCCAAGAGCAGCAGCATCCTCTGTTGCTCACTTCCCTCAAGTGAAGTGAACATTCCATCCCAGGCCACGGGTATGGCAGTGGCACTTAGTCTCAACACTTCACGTGTCTTACTGAAGTCGCACAAGCAAAGTTTACACGCTGTGGAAAGACAGAAAGGATGACCATGAGGTCATCTCGTATTCTTTACCTTAAAACTGTGAGCTTTACCTATTTAGTTCAATAATAATCATCCTAACCTGTCTTTGGGCAAAGCACACAGCTAGCTCCTGGTAGGAGGGCCCTGGGGCTGGAAGGTTTTATATTTTCTGTTGAATTCTCCTCGGTGATTTCTTAGACTTTTTGTTCAAAAGTGTCTTAGTCTTAATTTGTACTTGTTCGGAGTCAGTTTGCAATCTGGCTGTTTGCTTGTTTGGATGTTTTTTCCCCTCTCATTTAAGTGCCCCAACTATCAGATATGTCTTGTATAGCAGATACTTTCTTAGGTTTCTCTGGGTATTTGGACACTGTGATCAGATTGACAAGTTTAACTCTTTTCTAAGCATCTCTTTCAGTTCCCGAATGGCTTCTCAGACATCTTCCTCCCTTTCCTCTTTACCATAGGTGGTTGGCTGTTTTTCAAAGCAGGACATTGTATGCAGCACTGCTATTTCTACGTTTTTTTGTAAATACACCACAATTGCAAAATAGGTAGAGAGGGTAACCAGGGCTGTTCCTCCTTCCTCATTGTGAACTTATTAGCACTTGACTTGTTGTGTCATTGGAAATTGAGGTAATGTTGCTTGCTTGGTAATTAAAGTCCTGTTATTCAATGCCACCATGTCCTGTTTTTACAAAAGGAGAGAAAAGATTCAGTTCTGCATTCAGGTATATGAATGAATGTGGTGCAGAGGATGTCACATCCCCTTTGCAGAGGTGGGAAAGAAAAAAAAATGTGTTTAAACCTGTGGAGGTTCTGCATTAACTTGGCGGTGAGAATTACAAGTCAAACCTTTCTTGTACCTGGCATGTTGTACTGAAAACAGTCTAATCTACTTATGTGAGTTTCCTGCCAGTGTGCTAGGATTAAATCTGAGTTACTGTGGTACCGAAAACATTAATTTAATTGCTGTTGCATTACAGCTTGGCTTTTCCTGACACATCAATTAAAACCTTAAATGCTGCTGTATTGCTCACCTCACAGTGATTGGAAGGTATAAAGTATGATGCAAACATTGCAGTTAAGATATCAAAGTCTCTAAACCTGGCTAGCACTAGATGTTTTTTAAATTTATGTAGGACATAGTTGTGTTTTAGGAGCTTGCCAATATGGGCATGCTTCCAAGAATAGCTA